ATTCCTGTTTCTCTGCAGTTCACTACTTCCAGTGGCAGTGAATGTACAGCATAACCTGGGCTCTGGCTCAGTGCACCTATTTAGTCTAACCTGCATCTCCGGTCTTGCAACCAGCAACACAATTTTCTTGCATTCTTCGCTGGAGAGCAACGCCACTGCCTCTTCCCGATTCTGGACATCTTGGCCATTTATCTAGAAAACAAATTAAACTGGCACATTAGTTTCTATTTCCACAAAGCAACACACAATAAAGGGCAGATATCTGCTCATTTGTGCTGAATGTATGGACGGCGAAACTCGCACAACGGGCTCATCTTCAGCCCCTCAGTGGTAAGTGCCTTCACTCAATTATGCGCTTACTGTAAGAGCTGTATCGATCGTTGAAGGATGGCGGACATCAGAGGAAGCAGTTATGTTCATAAATGTCCAACCTGCGCCCTGGTAACATACATCTAGCAACACAATTAACCAGCCCCTGACAGGTGACGTTCATCTTTCTCCGTTCAGAGTAATGGAAGTGTCACTCTGAGATAATAGTGCTGGTGGAAGCGAGACTGGTAATGCTACAGCTGAAATCAGTCACACTATGCTGGTAGAGAGCCAATTAGAGCGCTACAGTATTATCTCTCACCAGGCAATACTCACAGGCCATCGCTTATTGCTGCACCATTTAATCATTTTATATTTGTGTGGACAGCTTAGTACCCAGAACCACACAAAACATATGTATCCCCCTTACAAGGGGATAATCAAAATAAAAGTGGTTCTCCAATGAGAGTGTGCTGTTCCCACTACCTTTCTCCTATTCTGTCACCTCATTAAAACAGCCTCGTCTATGACTAGCACACTTTTCATTGTCCAGAACCTTTTATTGAGGGAATAAAATAGAAATCTTATTTTCCATGTGTGTTTTTTTCTAATTCACAGCACAAGAAGTGGATTATTTTCATTGTGGCAACAAAAAAGCACCCCTTGATCTGCTTGAAAATGGGTGAAAACAAAACTGGAAGACAGAATGATCTGAATACCTGGGGGAAATAAATTTTTGTAATGGGATTGATTTCAAAGTAGCAGAAATTTCTTGGTCAAAATGTATAGAGAAAGTTGCATTTCTGCACCTATGTTTGGCCTGAAAAGCCTTGGCTCAAAAAGAAGCTTTAATTCAGATCAAAGAAACCCCAATGTAACCTGATTATCTCACCAGCAGTGAGACCCCTCAAAGCTTACATGAAGGGGGCTGTGGTCTGTTGGAGAACAGAAAGCCAGTTGTCAATACAGAGTTTCCCTAACCCAAAAAAGGAGAGATGCAACTACAGAGGTGCAGGAGCAGATCATAGAATCACAAAATGGTTTGAGTTGAAAGGGACCTTAAATACCATCTAGTTCCAAACCCTCTGCTATGGGCAGGGATGTTTCCCACTAGAGAAGGCTGCTCAAAGCCCCATTCAACCTGGCCTTGAACACTTCCAGGAATGGAGCTTCCACAATTTCCCTGGGCAACCTGCACAATTGCCTTACTACCCTTACAATAAAGAATTTCTTCCTAATATCTAACCTAAATCTCCCCTCTTCCAATTTGAAACCATTACTCCCTGTTGTATAGCTACACATCCTTCTAAAAAGTTTCTCCCCAGCTTTCCTGTTGGTCCCCTTCAGGTACTGAAAGACTGCTATAATGTCTCCCCAGAGTCTTTTCTTCTACAGGCTGAACAACCTTAACTCCCTCAGCCTGTCTTTATAGGAGAGGCACTCCAGCCCTCTGTTATCTCTGTTGCCCTCCTCTGAGGTTTCTCCAGCTTGCACAGAACATGCCCAGCAATGGTGGTTGCTCCAGCGATTCTTGTCAGCCGAGCAAGTCCCGGCTGACTCTGGAAGCACTGGTCCTGTTGGCCCCACACAGCCTGGGGGTGCCCACCCCACACCAGCTGCATCACGAGGGATAAGAATGACTTCAGCCTGCTACATGGAATCTCACCCCCATGGACGGCACTTGTTGGTCTGAAGGTTCATAGCTAAAAATAGCAAAAGTTCAGTTAAGCCTCACTGGGATTGTCCCTATGAAACTTTCTCCTTGACTTTCTAACATTTCATCTAAAATACCCAGGCTGTTCTCAGATGTTTAAGAGACTGTGAATGTGACGGAAAAGGTGTGAGGTTTGTGAGAATGAAAAGGGGAGAGTTTCAGCCTCAAAAAAGTGAGGCAATCAGCTGTAATTTTGTGAGAAATAAACAAAATAGAGCATCCCTCCCAGCCTTAACCAATGCCATCTGCTACCCACAGAAAGTGTCCCCATGCTCAAGGACCCATTTCTCTCCCAGCCTCAGTGTAATCCCCCAGTAATGGCACTGTCACCTTCTATTTATCTGAGTTATCTCATCAATAAGAGTAGATAGAGGGTCAATGTGTTTTCAGATATGAAAGTAAACCCCACATAACTCTCTGGGTGTTAACATTAATGATCAAACTCATAGCTATATATCAGCACTGACATAAAAGTCATGCTCCAGTCTACAAAAGGATAGCAGAATTACCTATGCTTTTTTCTCGCCCCCGGAGTCTTTCCTCACAATTGAAATGAATTTCATTATGAACTGGAGAACATTTGCCTAAACCGCTGTTTACTCTCCGTTCCTTCCAGAAATTTTAGACAGCAAGGAATGGGGAAGAAAATCATAGAATCATAGAATGTCTTGGGTTGGAAGGGACCTCTAAAGGTCATCTAGTCCAACCCCCCTACAATAAGCAGGAACATCTCACACTACAACAGATTGCTCAGAGCCACATCAAGCCTGACCTTGAATGTCTCCAGGGATGGGGCCCCCACCACCTCTCTAGGCAACCTGTTCCAGTCATCCACCACCCTCATATTAAAGAGCTTTCTCCTTATGTCCAACCTAAATCTACCCTTTTCTAGCTTGAGACCATTACCCCTTGTTCTGTTGTTACATGCTCTAGTGAACAGGTCTTCCCCAACCTTCTCATAGGCTCCTTCCATGTATTGGAACGGTCCCCCTGGGCGTTTTCTCTTCTTCAGGCTGAACAACCCCAACTCTCTCAGCCTGTCTTTGTAAGAGAGGTGTTCCAGCCCTCCTCTGGACATGCTCCTACAGGTCCACTTCCTTCTTGTGTTGTGGGCTCCAGAGCTGGACACAGTACTCCAGGTGAGGTCTCACCAGGGCAGAGTAGAGGGGCAGAATCACCTCTCTCGATCTGCTGGCCACACTTCTTTTGATGCAGCCCAGGATGGAGTTGGCCTTCTGGGCTGCAGTTGCACATTGGTGGCTCATGTCCAGCTTTTCATCCACTTGTACCCCCAGGTCTTTTTTCCACAGGCCTGCTTTCCAGCATGTCTTTCCCCAGCCTGTATTGGTATCTCTGGTTTCCCTATCCATGGTGCAGGACCCTGCACTTGGCCTTGCTGAACCTCATTAGGTTCACCTGGGTCCACTTCTCCAGCTTGTCCAGGTCCCTCTGCATGGCATCCCATCCCTCTGGCATATCGACCACACCACCCAGCTTGGTAAGCAGGAACATCTCACACTACAACAGATTGCTCAGAGCCACATCAAGCCTGACCTTGAATGTCTCCAGGGATGGGGCCCCCACCACCTCTCTAGGCAACCTGTTCCAGTCATCCACCACCCTCATATTAAAGAGCTTTCTCCTTATGTCCAACCTAAATCTACCCTTTTCTAGCTTGAGACCATTACCCCTTGTTCTGTTGTTACATGCTCTAGTGAACAGGTCTTCCCCAACCTTCTCATAGGCTCCTTCCATGTATTGGAACGGTCCCCCTGGGCGTTTTCTCTTCTTCAGGCTGAACAACCCCAACTCTCTCAGCCTGTCTTTGTAAGAGAGGTGTTCCAGCCCTCCTCTGGACATGCTCCTACAGGTCCACTTCCTTCTTGTGTTGTGGGCTCCAGAGCTGGACACAGTACTCCAGGTGAGGTCTCACCAGGGCAGAGTAGAGGGGCAGAATCACCTCTCTCGGTCTGCTGGCCACACTTCTTTTGATGCAGCCCAGGATGGAGTTGGCCTTCTGGGCTGCAGTTGCACATTGGTGGCTCATGTCCAGCTTTTCATCCACTTGTACCCCCAGGTCTTTTTTCCACAGGCCTGCTTTCCAGCATGTCTTTCCCCAGCCTGTATTGGTATCTCTGGTTTCCCTATCCATGGTGCAGGACCCTGCACTTGGCCTTGCTGAACCTCATTAGGTTCACCTGGGTCCACTTCTCCAGCTTGTCCAGGTCCCTCTGCATGGCATCCCATCCCTCTGGCATATCGACCACACCACCCAGCTTGGTGTCATCAGCAAACTTGCTGAGGGTGCTCTCAATGCCAGTCTCAATATTATGAATGAAAATATTAAACAACACTGGTCCCCACAGGGACTCCTGAAGGACACCACTTCTCACTGTGTTCTAGCTGGACAATGAGCCATTAAAATGGACCCACATTCTATTTCCTTATTTTGAAATGCATAGATTAGGAATGAAAGTTGTTTCTACTCAGTTGAATAAACTAGGTTTTTTTCTGATCTTTGAAAGTTTAAAATATCATCATTTCCTGTTTGCTTTCTTCAGTAGGTATTTTATATAACAATACAGAAGGCAATGCACTGACTTCTCCATTCCTAGCTGTACACCATGATGTGGTTCCATCACTTAAGTATCACCTAGGAGCCCACTGTCCTCACACCATGCCATCTGATCTGCCTGGGGAGGGAACACCATCTGTCCTGTGAATGTTTTCACATTCCCAACCACAGAGAACAAACCAGCAGCCCCTGTGTGAGCCCTGACATTAAAATATAACACTGTATCCTCTGCAAAAGATGGGCCACCTTGGAAAGCACCTCGTAGACCCTGTTGGGTTAGCTAGACTCCCAAAGCTCATATCAGGGTAAGATATACAGGTATGGTTTTCAGCTAAGACATTTCTTGAAGAAATGAACAGACTGCAGGGGAGGAACAGGCTGATCTTGTGACAAACTGAAAGCCCATGTCCTAAATTAATGAAGGGCAATTATGGGACTGGTCACAGAAAAGTGACTTGTCACATCAGGAACTACTTCAGGGGCTTCAGCCTTAATGATTCCCCTCCTCAAGCATGTTAAAAATCAAAATTCATGAAAAAGCACATTTTTTGTATGAAACTCTTACCATCTATGCTCAGCATGAGTGAGTTTCACCCAAATTTATGCGATTGGTGAACGATCAGCAAGTCTCTGGCACCCATATTTATGTCTGCAGAATCACTGTTTAGAATCTGACACTGAGATCAACATAGTGGAAATGGGATTTGCTAATAAATATGGCAAAAAAAGACACGAGACATAAGGCATAAGGCAGAACGAGTTTGTCATTCTCATTTTTCAGTACACGCACTCTAGCTCCTGGCTATTGTGTTAAAAAACAGACAGACATGGATTTTCTCATCGATCACAGTAACAAAGAGAACTACCTTCCCTCATTAACAGTCCACAGAGAAGACAGCACTGCATGTTTGTCTGAAGAAAGAGTTTAAGGGAGAGTCTATTGTCACATACTTGCAAAATCCGGTCTCCTTCACGGATCCGGCCATCCCTGGCAGCAATGCTGTTTGGATCAACCTGCAAGGAACAATATCCAGTAACTCAACATGGAAAGATTTTTTAGTGGAAATGATAACAGTTGCACAACTGCACAATTTGAAAAAATACCATTTTTACTCTGTACAGAGGCAGTCTGATGTTTCCTTTAGAGTCATATGTGCTCAACAGTGCTTTAAAAAAATCATAAAAGCTTGTTTCAGATAAAAGCCTGAAGACAGAAAGGCTTGGGAGTATATGATTTTCAGATTAATACTTCCCTATGCCACTGTCAGGCATTAACCTTCAGCTGTCAGAGCACAAAGAATTAATGACAGAGTCCCTCTGATCTGGAAGTTCACTGTGGACTGAGGTGCTTCTGCAGCAGTTGATACCTCTATACAAATGGCACTGTCTTTGGGAAAAGGGCAGGTTTATTTTTCTTTCAAGGAAATATTTATAATTAAATGATTATCTCAGTCATCACTCTGTTATTTTCTCTGGAATTCTGCAGCTCCTGAGGAAACAGCAAAAAACCCAAAGGACCTATATTGTATAGATCACTCAGAGGCACTGTATCTTGTTCCTGGTCTGAGTCAGTTAATTTTAAGTTAGTTTAACCTAAATAGATGTTTAGGGCTCCATTAACCATTTATCAAAGTCACTATAGCTCATCCCTGAGCAATGACCTATAGCTCATTGCAGGGCAATTCGATCTATCACCTTTCACTTGATGGTTATCTTAAATCATTAATTTTGCCTCATCATGCCATAAGCTGTTTTTTGAGTCAAGCATTTGGTTTGCAGGTTACATCCTCCACAGCTATTAGATATTATTTTCTCCTTGTGTGCTGCCATAGGAAAAGAAAATATTCTGAAGTGCTTAATCAAGTACAAAGGACAATATAATTACATTCTCTTCAAAAGGTCTGAGAAATTTCTACCATGCAGGAAAACCAGCACGTTTCAGATATAATCCTGGAGTGTATTAAGAGATTCTGCATTTTCTTTGTTTTCACAAGGTCAAACACACGTTAACAGCAGTGCTTATACAACTAGTGGAAGACTTATCCTTGGACAGTTTTATATCAATGCCTCATTCTTGTTCCAAGGCTGTGCTTTTCAGCTGCTTTGACACTGCTGCTGGCCTGTGAATGTGCAGTTTTTCCTTCATAGCCATTTACTGATAAACAGGAGAATTTGCTCTACCAATCGTCTCTGTCCATGAGCTTTACTCCATTGAGAATCACAGAATCATAGAATAATTCACATTGGAAGGGACCCATAAGCATAATTGAGTCCAACTCCCTGCTCCTTGCAGTACTACCTAAAACTAAACCGTGTAACTAATAGCATAATCCAGACAGTCCCTGAATTCTGACAGGCTTGGTGGGTGCTGTGACCACTTCCCTGGGAAGTCTGTTCCAGTGACCAACCACCTTCTGAGTGAAGAACCTTCTCTGAATGCCCATATTTGATTCAAGGTGTCACTAAATGAACAGTTTTGGAACACAGCTCATGCAGGACAATCACCAGTGAGCTTGGACTCACCAATGACACTGGACTCACAAAAGTTCCACTTTATCCAGAAAAACACCCCTCTTTGGATGACTGGAGGCTCAAAGGGAGCTAGTGTTCATGGAATTCTAGTGGACTGACCCTATGAAACACTACCACCCTGTGATATAGGCTAGATGTCATGTTTTCCTGGTGAAGTCAATGAAAATCTGAGGGTCCATCCCATCTCAGTATCTGGGATTCTATTTTTTGTCTGGTGAAAAAATTAAAAAAAATAATTAAAAAAATGAGTCCTGCTGATGTATTCCTCTCCCAAGCTACTCTCTCCATCCATCTGTGGTATGTCTGTGTACCACAACTGTAACAAAACCAGAAATAATAATTATTATCCACTGTCATGATCACCAAGGCTGTGGCAGAGGGAGAATGCCAGAAGGGCATGGAGAAGGTGCTGTTCTCTTTAAAAATTCTGCCTGATTTCCTTCATAAGGGCAGATTTGTTGCAAAATTCAGATCATGCTCAGACTGCTTTGGACTTCCCTAACTATGATGTAGTTAAAAGCATTCACATTAAAGAACCTCACGAGTAATAATTACACTACTTGGGCAACATAATTTAAAATTAATAATCTAAATAAATTGAAACTGACACGTGATGGCAGATGGCTGACATTTCTGCACTCTAGTCTCAGAGCACTTGCTCTTACATGTTTAGCCCCTCCACCAAGAGCATCTCCCACACTCCTCCCCATTGCTATGTCCTCACCTCACTGACATAGATCCCTGTGTCCTCCTCATCATCGGTTCTGTAACAGACAGTCAGGCCCAGCTTCTCCTGGCTACTGACACGGCACAGCTCCACCTCCTACAAGAAAAGACACAGGCTTGTATGGTGGCTTTTGCCATGGGTGGAAAAAATGGTGAGACACAAGGGAGCACGAAGCTGCTGACACACTCATTCTGCAGGACATCCTCATACTGAGTGATCTACTCATACTGCCTAGTCCCAACACAGAATCTTCTGAGTGCATCTTTAAGAGGTAAAATATTCTATGAATTAAGAAGGAAATTCCAGTACATTGCAAGTTCAAACTATATAGGAACAGTTTACCAAGACATGTTGAACTTTGAGAAGTTCATATGGCTACACATCGATTTTGCAGGGTTTTTTGCTTTTGGATAACAGAAGCTGACTTACAGTATATTACATAGTCATTTTAGCCCTATCACACCAAATATTGATTTATAGGATATAAGACAGGCTGGCTACACATCAATCAATCCATCACACAAGTGCCACTTCCTTCTAACAGCAATCCAAGCCATAAAGCAAAAACACATTAATAGCATAATTCCTTCCCTGGCTAGGGATGTGTAGTGCCACTGCTTCATTGCAGAAGCTGTTAGATAACAGAAAGATGTTTCAAGGAATCTCCTGTGGAGCTGAACAGCCGTGACATCCCCCTCAATTGTGAGATGATGCAGAAAACATATTTTTACTGCCAGATGTCCCAGTAGTGGCATCTCATGAAAAGTGCAAGTTTTAGGGCAGATGGCACAGTGATAACTACTACATACACCCATCTGAGTTAAGCATCTTTAGGCTTTCATGCAGGAATCATTCACAAAAATGCAAAGCTGCACTTGGTTTGAACACTGTGAAACAAGTAATTGTAATAAAGCACAATGAATTCAGTAACACAGAGTATTAGCTTGTTTGTAAATGGAAAACATTACTTGATATTTTTATTTAAAGGAAGTCTGCAGGTGACATTTGGGGCTAAACAGCTTCTGCTTCTCATGGCTGTGCAAAAGAAAGGTGAGATAAACCCATGCTTCAGTTCTCAATCTGTGATACAAAGCTTGTTCCTCGCCCTCCCCAGAGATTTCGAGCAGATTAATCCACAAACAGGCACAGCCACACAGTGGCTGTACAGTACTGAGTTGGATCAAGCTGCAGGGACCAGGTGTCAAAATACCACAACTTACAGAGAAACCTGCAGTTCACACATATGGGTTAGTCAATGAACCCTGTGCCATTTTAATTTCAGCTGAACATCCCTCACAGAGTGCACTGTTATGGTTCGCTCCTCTGCTTCCTCACTAAAGAATATCTACAAGGGTTCAGTACCTGTGTAAACCATATAAACCTCTCCCTGGTTTTTGGACATTTAATGTCTTCATGAAAATGTAGACAATACCATGAAACCTGTAGTATTCTTTAGTTTTTCTGAAATATGGCAGGGATTTTAAAGAGGGTGGTAAGAAGTGGAATTAGTTTCCAGTCCACGTTACACGTATTGGGTTTGAAAGAAGAAACATGGGATTGTGTTTTATTAGGAAAGAGAATTGCAGTGACCTGATTTTGGCATTGGGAGCAAAAATATGTGTACTGGAGGGAGGCCTATTCAAAACCCGTAATTATTGATGCCTCCAGAGGGAAAGAGCACTTGACTAGAACTGTAATATTAGGGAGAAATTACAGTAACAAAACGGCTTCAATTACAGCAACAAGGTATACTTTTAAGGAACGAAGAAGCTTGTGGTCCCTTGGAGGCCTATAAGGAAGCCTAAATACACCATAAAGAACTGAGACTGGGACCTTTAAATCAAGGCAAATGAGAAGCTGTGCACAAGCTGAAATTCATTGACTTTCATTGTCCTGCCAGCACAACCGCCTGTCTCCCGGAACTGAGCCTGGACAGGGGCCCCAAGGACTGCTCTGAACGTAATTTCTTTGGCTGGGAATGACCTTGAAGTTCTCGTGGATGATTTGTCTCAAAATGTTACTAAAAAGCTGTACAAGTGTTTCAGGCTGAAAACAAACAGAATCCATTCCACGCACTGGCTCAATTAACAGAATAATGTAACCATTTAGCGCACAAAAGAGCAAAGGAAAATGAGAATGACCCTAGAGGCTCCATCCTGTGAGTGCAAAAGGCTCACTACAACTGTCTCTGGGAACCAGCTGGTGACAAAAGTCAGCAACTATTATCCTCTGACTCGGCTGCATGAACCCTGGCTGTGCACGGTGCTGGAGTCACCTCAGCTTTCATTTCCTTGCTCAGTAACAGAGCTCAGAGCTGAGATCTCCACTCAGTACTCTTGGGACTACCTCCTTCCTAAATGACTGGTGTATGGGGTGCAGTCTGATGACTGCATGTGGCTGTGACCACTTAGAAGCTATAGATACCTGCAACTGAGATACTGGTAGTTGTGTCAAAGGCCCAATAAATATTTAATGTTTTTCAGTCCAAACTCGAGTATATACTCAAGTAGTACCTTATTCAGCATGAGGGAGAAGCTGGATGAGGAGGTCTCTTGTGTTGCTTTAAAAGTCATTCCAGGTAACTGCAGAACTACACTAATGACATCTTTTTTACAGCAAACAGAATGCACCCTGGTCACATTTAAACAAATTAGGGTTGGCAGAACATCTTTGGACTATATTAAAAAAACTTTATATCTTTACATAACAAGCACATCTGAAACAACTTCAACAGAAGAACAGCAGTTAAGACCTACAGCACATGGACCATCGTTGGATTTTGTGTCAGATGCTTTTTAGTGTTGTGTTTGTTTTTTTTTTCCAACCGGTCTTTAGCAGAAGAAACACTAATTTTGGCAGCAGTCATGGGTTTGTAAGAACGTAATTTCCTTCTCTAAAATTCCTTTTCATACATGCACATATGCAAACAAACGCACAAACACAAGTATTTTCTTTCTCTTTGGGTTTTCTGTGAGTGCATGTAGTGACTGAACCTAAGACTTCAAAATTCAGCATTTTAAAAATCTGAAAGAAACAAATTTGGAGATTCACAAAGTGTGCTGAAAGACAGATGGTGGATGTAGAGGGACTGAGGAGAGAGCTTGGGAGATAACAGCCTTCCCTGCTTTTCGGCAGTCTGAGGCAGCCACCTCTCAACATGAAGGGTATTCTGCTGCCAAAGGACAGAAACAAATGCCGTATCTTTGACTTGCTCCCTCTTTTCCCTTTGTGGGCAGAACAATAATTCAGTGCATTGCCACAGTGAGGACAATACTTAAATTATTTGGTTGAAAGATAGACATGGAAATTACAACAAGGACTATCCTGTCTTGAAAGACTGGGATGAAAACTTTCAAGGTAGCTCAGTTTTTCAGAAACAGAAAAGAAAACAAAGAGGTGTAGGTCATGCTTCTGAAGGACTGAAAACTGGTTATATTGGTCATCTTCTAAAGTGACGGAGTAGGGGCTGTAGTCTCTGGCTCCCAGTTAAAGGCTGTCATTTGCTTCAGTGATGGAAAACCAGATTACAGGCTGTCAGCCTCAGGAGACATAAGACCAAACAAGGTGCTGTCACCTCTCTGGAGAGGGAAGGCTAGGTTAATACTGTCATTTCTCTCAAGTGGTAAAGAAGTAGATTATAAATGTCACCAACTAGGCTGTTGGCTTTCTAGAATTGCTTAGAAGAGGTTAAGGGCTATTAAAGGAGACCTTGTAGAAGTTTACATCAGTTTGCAGTTATAGTGGGTCTTTCTACTAAAAGCTAGAAGATTACAAAGGGTAAAGCTGATGGTCTGTTAGACCATGAACCCTTCAGTGACTGTTCTTAAACAGCATTTCTGGGGCAAAAAGAGGTCTGAACTTTTCACATTTTCCCTCCACATACTGGGGAACAGATGACAACCTAAGAGGAAAGTTGGCAGAGTTTCTTCTTGCCTAACCCAGAAGACATTGACAAGAGTTATCTGACAACTCTGTGCTGGAATAACTGCACACATGGAAAGCTTACTCTGACTCATTTTTCTTTGCTGAACACTCTGCCAATGGTCTCTACTAAGCCATGCACACCTTGAAATCCTTCCACCACTTCCTGTCAGGATTAGTTACTCTTTGTTTCACCAATTTATAGTGTGACTGAGCTCTACCCCCATCTCATCCCTGCCTATCAGTCTCTCTCGTCTCCATTTGAACCATCCCACCCTGGTACCCCTCTCCACCAACTCAATTCTTCTGTCCTCATCTTCAAATCTCTCTGCAGCTCACTCTTTCTCTAAATGATCCTTCATCCATATTAACTGACAGCCGCCTCAGCCTTTTCTCCCACTTCCTCTCAAACTTCTCCATTCTCAGTAAGTGCCCATGCCCACACTGCCCCCGCATCACCTTCCTTTTACTCTCACCTTATAACCCTGTTAACTATAGAAATTTGTACAGAAATTATTGCCTAGTAAGAGCATTTTGTGACTTGTTTTCCTTATCTATAAGCAGAAAACAATGCAAACATCATCAGGGTAGCTGGACATAAAAGAATAAATTATTACAGTGTCTGAAAGACACTGCAGGAATATTATAAATACTCTACACTCTTCCAACATTCTCTGTCTGCCTTTATAGCAATTGTTGCACACCACTAAAAGGACCAAAAGAGACTATCAAAATTGTAATAGCTATTGAGTTCCCTTCACCCCTACAGTGTATCAGAGTAATAGGTCCCATGAACTCCAGTAACACCATCAGAAGGGACAGAATGGAATCAAAACACAACAGTATTTCTCCTACACAGACAGCATGTGATCATTTTAGTTAACATTTAAGTCCTCATTACAATGAGAAAATCATCTCACCTTCGAGACATAGTCAAATACCAAATTAATTTTAATGAGGGGTACTCTCCAGTGTAGCAGAACCCATGGTTCATAGCTCAGGGTTTTATTTTTGTGACATGGTAAGATAGATATTCTGTTTATGAAACAGTCAACTATTTAATTTCTTAGCATTAATTGGCATCTACCTTGTCCCATTTAACTCTGTCATCTTTAGAGGAAAAGAACATCTGCTTTTCATGCTGGTAATGTATCAGTACAGTCCAGTCTGAAAAC